GCCGTGCAATCGATTGGCTTTATTGCTTTCTTTCGATATGCTTTGGTTGCTTCCTTAGTTGCATCGGGTTTTCATCGTTTTCTGATATTTTTTTGGGATTCATAGTTGAGGTTGCATTTTTTTTAAGAACCCTACAAGTCATATAAAGGAACATAACTCATAAGATTAATACGTAGCCTGTCCCTGACCATCAATGGCGCCAAATTTGATGGTGTCAATATCCACAAAAAATAATTCTACTCTTTCAACCTATGGTAATTTAGTATGATATGGGTGAGAGGGTTGAGATCAACTAGAGACTAATTCCAAACTACGTCCCGTTAACTTGGACTACAAATCAAATAATAAATAAAGGGAGGTTGGTTTATTAAGATAGGACAATAAGTAGGCAACAAAGGAAAAAAATTAAAAATACACTTAGAGGTGACAAAAAAATATAATTTTATACACTCAAAATGGCAGAATCACACGATTCCTAGCTCAAGGTGATTCTTTCAGTGACGCTAGGCTAGTAAAAGTGGCAATGGTTGTATGTTCGATCCATATGACACTGGATCATCTGATAATTACTTCCGTCTCGAAAAACTTCTTTTCCATATATTGATTAACATAGATGATTACAACTCTAAGGACTGGTGCATAGTAGATAGTCCCACCTCAGATTAAGGGAAAAAAAACCCTAAAACGATTCAGATTGAGAGATTCTACACTTTTCTAAGCAGCAATAAAATAAAAGACCCTGCTCTAATACATGAAACTCTTACAAGCGAGGTTCATTAAATTATGATCTAAGTTTTCAATAATATAAGACTCAAAAGCTAGTTACGGATCAATTATATATTACTACTTGTAAATCAAAATCAATGTACACTATTAAAATACTATCTTGTTGAATTTTAGCGTAATAGTCGTGTGTCATCAATTGAAACTGAACGCATAATAGACCTATTGAATAAATAATAAGAACGACATAGAGATGGAGTATCTCATTAAAATTCAGGAAACAACATGAAGACCAATCAAGAATTAATAGAAGAATAATAATGCATATAAAACCTTAGGAAATCTCCACTCAGTCAGCCCCAGGTACTCTCACGTATAATCTCCAGTTGGAGCGATACTCTGATTCTCATAATTCTAGTCCATTATGACTGATATCGTTAAGAGTGTCGTGAGAGCACGCACTGCCGATCTGATCCAACACTATGTCAAGAAAGATAAACAACTAATAGCACTGTTGTTATTGAAAAGTTGGAAAGAAAATAGGATCCTTGCTAATAGACTTAAGGTCTTCTATTTATAGCCGAAGAGGAAAGAAATCTAACTAGGAAAATAAAATCCCCAATTATTAAAAGAAGATAAGTATTCCAAAATGCTGAGTATTTTCCTAAATCCCTAATAGTGGTCCATAGTTTTTGCTTGTAAATATTCGCTGGAGTAGCCAAAAGTTAAACTCTAGCTGGCAATAACACGTCAATTCTTGATGGCCTCTTGGATGCGCCTCTGTTAAGCCTTGACGACGCTTAATTCTCGGTATGAGACGTTCTAGGGTTTGGATCTGCTTTGATGAAGTCCCCCTAAGCTTGCCCAAGCTTAAATTTGAAAATCTTCCAAGGGTTTCCTAGAAACTTCAGGCTTCCAATTAGTATACTTTTGGAACTCCAAGACATCATGTGTGACATCCTGACCTGGCAAAGCGATCCTAAGAAGGCCAGGTGCAAAGCTCCTGGCTTAGCTTTTTTAGGATATGCAAGGCTCCTAGGGTCACAGTTGGAATGCGGACAACAGCGATATGAATCGAAATCATATTACGATAAAGGGGGAAACTATCTTAAAGGCACCTTTTTGGGTTGGAAATGGGTTGGAGAGGTTTGGAAGAACTCCAGTGGTTAAATCGGTGCTCGATTCACGGAATCCTAGGATTGGTGATCTCTGGAAAGTTTTTCATTTCACCTGCGAGACAAACCGGCGGGTCCTTACCAATCTTGTATGGGGGATTTGGCTTGATCCAAAGCGGACAATTCCTCTGTGATTAGAGTCGGCGTATGGGGATTGGCTTGGATCTAATGCGGACTATTCCTCTGGTGATCTAGAGTCAGGGCGTGAACAGTTGGTATCAGAGCCGGACCCCTCCATAATTGTATGGTTTCGAGGACGAACCACGCGGAAGCTGTGGCCCTGTGATCTCCGACGCTGGCAGCGATCCTAAAGAGGCGAGTGAGAGCAAAGCTTGGCTAGCTATAGGATGCAGGTCTAGCTAGGGTAGTGGAATGCGGGACACAGGATAATTGAATCGTAATCATATATCGAAAAAGGTGGGAACTAATCATTAGAGTTCGCCTTTTGGTGGAATGGTTGGAGAGTTGGGAATGAACCTCCAGGGTTAACGTTGGTCGCTTTAAGGAAATCCTAGGATGCGGTGGACCTCCTGGGAGTTTCCCAATTTACCTGCGGGACAAAACCGTGCGGGTCTGCCATTTTCTTACTCGGGGATTTTGGCTTGATCTAAAGCGGACAAATTCTCTAGTGGTAGTAGTCGGGGGCGTGCCAATTCAGCTACGAAGCTTCTTTAACTTATGATAAATTTAGCAATAATTTATAGAAGAATATGAAATCAAAATGAAAACTCTCATTTTAAAATCAGAAAGTATCCATAGATAATATTCAAATTAAAGGTATTTTATGCTAATTAACTACTTAGGTGTACAATAGTGTAGTGTGATAGAATTAACTAGGAAATTTCAAGAAATGTGTTATTGCGATTTGTCCTGGTAATGAGAAATGATATTTTTAGGTTGTCCATCAAGTATTTTTATAATCATTTCAAATTGTAATTGTTTATGTACATTTTGATGGTAAGAAATCTTAGCTTTCGAAAAGAATCTTGGCCATTAATGACTCTATTTAAACTGAGCATTACTCTTTATTGAAATGAATCTAGACACTAATACGGTCTTTAATTAGTTGCGCAAACTCTTTGTGCTACTGGTCACTATGTTTCTCAATATAGAATATAATAATCTGTTCCTATCAAAAGTCCCCCAAAATACATCCGAATCATTTATTTTCGAATCATTTCTGTGTTCTTTCTATCTTAAGTCATTTCTGAGCACATTTTCTCTTTGCTCTTCCACTTATAAGCCCTAGGATGGTCAGTCATCATTGAGTTCATATCTTGTCTTTAATGGATGTGACTTTTGGCATTATCGAAATGCTTCTTAGAACGTTGAGCTTCTTTATCCATTATTCAAGGAGTGAACTTTGATATTTCATGTTTGTTTGCTTCTCTTTGCTAATTTCTCACTGTTAAATTAAGTTTAAAGTCTAATTTGAAGTTCCTGTTTGCTGGCATTGTTCATTCCCTCTATAACTATCTGTCAAAGATTTCAAAGGTAATTTTTCCTTTTATTCTAATTTCACCTTTTCTGTAGGCTTGTTTCTTTTGTCTTCACACACGATTAATTCTAGCACCCTCTTTTAAAAGGCAAGCTATCGCCTTGAAACTCTTCTTCTTCTTCTTCTTCGTTCAAAAGTTCTGAAGCTCTCCACCAAATCAGGTGGGTTTTCCTCTAGCCCGTCTTTATAGCACTCATGGAAGCGTAGATCAGGCAGGGTCTGGCCACCAGTAATTGTTGTTAGGGGCAAGAAAACTCCTGCCTGAATAGAAATCCCAACCCCTCTCCGCTTGCAAACAATGCCAAAAAGACTAACAAAAAGAGAAACTCAGTTACAAAGAAGGAGAAATGGGTATCCAGAGTTTGACGGTTCATTATTTGGGAGAGATGATATGGAAAACTTTAAAGTAAGTCATATTATCCCTGATGAATAATGTTGGGGCAAACTCCGCAAAGTCCAACTTCCTTTATCCTGTAACGAAAAAGTTTTCAAGCTAGTGTCATTCTTCCTCCTCACATATGATTTTCTGTGGACTACCTTAATCACTCAATGTCATTTGTTGTCTCAAGTTCCATATAGCATTAGGAATTGTGTCTCGCGCTAACTCTTAAGCTCGGAAAGCCCTAACTTGGAATTTTGCTCCTATGTGACTAATTGGCTATATTCTTTGAAAAAATCGTACGAGAGAAGCAGTCACTCTTATCTTTTGCTCTGGGTAGTCGTAGTGTTTGAAGGAATGGACCGGGTCATAAAAGGGAAGAAAGAGAATGTTTATTATGAGAAGCTTCAAAGATTTTAGGGTGAACACTTCTAGTCCCGAAGCTGTTCCATCTTTTGAGGGAAGATAGGTTATTGACTGAAGGGGAAGAAAGCAAGTAATTAATGCCCTTGTTGAATATGCAAATAAACGCTAATACATCTTCTAGATCTCCTCGCACTGGAATTACCTTTCATTCGCATCGCGTGAAAATGGCTAAAGAGAAAAATCAAACGTGTATAATTAAGCTCTCTTCTGTGCTAGTCCTGAACTAGCATTAACATGTTTGCTTTTTTGATAAAGATATGGCGGTGGCGATTTTGCTAAAACAACTTGCGGAGAAGAGGAAACGGAAGAGTAAGAAGAACAAAGCTTCTGCTCAGGCTAAGAGAAAGCGGAGGAAGCTGTGTTGAGGAGATGAGGGAATGAAGCAAATGAACGAATACTTTGCCAATCGAACAAAAGCACGCCTCTCTGCAAGTCCAACTGATCCAATCACTTTGGAGCGACACCTGGCTTCCAAATCAGGATAGTCCTAGACAATGCTGAGCCCTTCACTCTTCTTGCTCTCCTTTAGAAGTTGAAGTTTGTTCATCTTTCAGCTTAAAGGATGACCCCTTCCTCTTGGCTAAAAGGAAAAGAGATCCAACCAGATGATGTCTGAAGAGGCTGCTCGGCTAATTCTGCTCAGCAATTAGAAGGATACATCAAGGCTGTTAATGGAGTTCAACATCCTATTCTCAAAGTCTAGTGAGTAGGGAACTTAGCCCGGTTGTCACTCCTTTCTCAATATGTTGAATTATGTGATTCCGTAGAAGAAAGTGTCATCTTTATAGTATAGAATTGCTGGTCTATGTTTACTTAGAAGTACATACATTGTTGTTTTTTTGTGTTATCTTAGCAATTTGTTCCTATTATTCATTTTTCTTCTGTAGTATATATAGCTCGTTTCATTCAGTTGTCGTGTATGACGGGGAGAGAGTTTAATGATTTTTAGAGCCATGTGCTAAAGCTTGAGGTGCTAAGAATGCAGGCTATCAACTGAGTAGAGACTGCAAGGCACATGAATTGGACAAGTCTTGACACAACTCAAGCAAAGAAGATTTGTGCCTTGAAAGTAGCAACTAAACACTTCTCAATGATGAGTGCAAGAAACTTACAGATAAGGCATTGATCACTAGCTCTGAGAAACTATTCAATTAGAGATAGACAAATAGTTCGAGCTGGTATATAGCAAAATTTTTGTTGAGCGAGAGAAGGATGAGTTGAAGGTTTAATGTGATCCACTAAACGAATGACTTGGCAGCGCTCAAGCAAGAGCAGATGATGCTCCTAAATGATATTGTGGATACACTCCGACAGTTTTCAAGATCGAGTCATATCTGCTTCCAGGCTCGAGTATGTTGTGATGATTTTGGATTTATTTCTGACATTCTCTTGTTTTGGTATTGTTCCTCTGAATCCTCAAGGCCTCTCTTTCCGAACATTGGTGAACAGTTAACGCAAGATCAAGCAGTTTGCGATCAATTGTTTTAAAGATTATAGTCCAGATTCAAAACAAGTTGATCAGTAGATGATCCTTCTATATTGTTCTGCTTCCTCAATTGAGGATTATTTTTTTTTTTATGTACATATTTTCATTTGAATGAAGAATTCTTCTTGTTATGCCTGTTTTAAACTATTGAGTTCTCTAAAATCCCCCCCCCCCCCCCCTCTCCCCCCCACCCCCCCCCTCCCCCCCCCGCCCCCCCCCCCCCCCCCCCCCCCCCCCCCCCCCCCCTCCCCCCCCCCCCCCCTCCATCCCCCTCACCCGTCCCCTCCCCCCCCGTTACCCCCCCCCCCCCCCTCCCCCACCCCCCCCTCCCTCCCCCCCCCCCCCTCCCCCCCTTCCCCCCCCCCCCCCCCCCCCGCCCCCCCCCCACCCCCCCTTATCCCATTTCCCCCACCTTTTTTCTCCCCCCCCTCCCCTTCAGATTCATCCAAGCTTTGTTCTAGGCTCATAATGTATGTGTTATTGTTCGCTTCATTTTTATTGATGCAGTTTTTCTTTTTGCTATGTGAGTTATTGTTAGGCGCATTCTGTTCCGTTAGCTCCCGTGAGCCTAACTCTTTAATTACTGCACGTAATTCTCCTAATATCGCTAAGTTTAATGTGAAAAGACTGGAGACGTGTTCAATCTAACTGTTTATTTAGACAATAGTATTTTCGCATATTTCTACGTTCCAGGGTAGGTAGTTTCTTTGCCATTAAGAGTATTTATCTATAGTGCTTGGACTAGTTTGTATCACTTGTATGTCTTACGCAGTTTGACCTACTAGTGGATCACTCCTACAATCCCTCTTAATTCTTGTTTTTTAAGAACTAAGTCTCCACTGAATACTTCTGGCTTCAGTGTCTTGTTGTAGAATTCATCAAGTCTGCATTTTGCATTGCCTTCAGCTAGGATATTGTTGGTCTAATCTCTTTGAGTTGTCTTTCTAGTTGGTCCAATATAATTCTTAATTTGTTCTTCATTTGTTTATGTTGCATGTAGTACAGAGTTACACTGGGTTAACTGCAATTTTAATTGGAATGTGCCCGCTTCTGTCGCTATAAACTAGAGAAAAACAAGTTTCTTGTAGATTTTTCTTAGAGTTGTGGCGGTATAGGGACCATAGCTATTATTCAATCGATCGACCAATTGTTCATTTTTCTTCGCCAATCGTCTTTTTTTATGTCCCTACAAAAGATTTGATATAGTAACTTCTTGCAACGCCATTTGTTTGTGTATGAGCTTACGATGTGAATTGTAACTTGATCTTCCCAGTTAGAGCAAAGTTTTGCAAAAGGTGAGATGAGTTAAGACTGCCTTCCCATTGTCGTAACATACTGTTTAGTACTCCATTATCGAATATGATTATACTTATTTTGAAAGAAAGATATTACTCTGCTCAGGTGTTATTATGAGCAATGAATTTGCCTTTCGGACCTCTGTTGTAAAGTGATCAACTACACAAACTGGAATATTTTGTCCAGCCAACTGTCTTGGGAAACTGGGCCAAGAATGACAACTGTCGCCCCGACTGTGCGAATGGCCATGCTCTCTAGAAGGCTATAGCTGAGCGCAAGGTTGTCGAGGCACGCGATGCTTCTGGCATTGGTTGATCATGCAAATTTTCGGGCGTTTACGTTCTTCTTCATCTGGTTGGCCAATATTGAAACCAAGTAGTGTAAGTTTTTTGATAAGTGCAGTCAACTCCCTTTAATGTGCGTCGCAACATGAATAATGTCTGCGCTTTCTTTAACAAGCATATTACCCGTTTTTCTTCATTCAGCACACTGTCACCCATGGATGAGCTTAGTTGACCTCCATATATAGGCTTGAGATCTATTCATAAGGCATAATTAACAAGCACTTATGTAGATATTCTATACTATACTTCTTCTTTTGTCTAACAGGAAGATTCCTTGATCTATAATACTTCCACAATTCGGCTTCAAGCTCCTAGCATTGCCGGGCTACCACAAGAAGTAGAGTTTTCATCTATGCTGTGATGGGTGTCGAGACACCCAAAAATAATATCCGTGCTCCCTTTAACCTTTCTATTTGTCAGATATGGTGAGAAGGGTCCGAACCCTAGAGACTACTCGAACTGATTCCTTAAGATTGGCAGGCCAGCAGATTAAACAAGTAAAAGTATAAAGGGGCTATTGTTTATAAAGTATAGTAATTCACATAAGCAAGTTAAAGTAACTAACTGCAATAAAATAAAGATTACAAATCAATGGAAAACGATTTCAGTCAATAGGTGATTCTAGTACCTGAATTCTCTCGATTTCAATATGAGATAGTTCAATAATTCGAAGATCGACCAGGTTATGAGATCCTTTGAACAATGTCCGTCGAAAATTCGCTTTCCAAACATTATTTAGATCAAAACCACAGACAAGCCGCTAAAGAATAATCCTAACTAGAAACAATCCTTAAACATAGGTATCAGGATTTAGTTTACTAGCAGCAATAAGCATCTAGAAAGACCCTGTCTAATTAACACAACTTTACAAGCGAAGTTCATTAAAATATGGATTGTGATTTCTTCATAATATAATCCAAAAGCCTAGTTATCAATAAAATATATTATTAATATAATCCAAAAGCCTAGTTACAATCAAATTATATTATCTAATACTTGAATTAATTCTACTAAACAATACGAATTTAGTTTCATTGATAGCGATATGCATTCCTATCAAATTGAACAATGGGCCCTATTGAACAAATAATAAGAAGACAAAAGAGATGGAGTTTATCATCAGATCCAGAAAACACACAAAGATTAATCGAAATTAAAGAAGAAAAATATTGCATTAAGATCTCACAATCGTTGAGGAATTTCTACTTGAAATCAACCTTTGATTGAATTAAAATATTTAGCCACTCATGGCCACGAAGAAAACACAAAGAAAAGTAAATCCTAAAATAACTGCTTTTTCTAAGATGAGAAGAAGATGATCTCCTCAATAAACTTAAGGTCCTATTTATAACAAAGGAAGGAAATCCTGAACTAGGAAAATAAAACATAAGTATCTTTAGAAAATCCAATAATTAAAAGAAAATCTAATATTCAAATTTGAGTATCTTTCCTAATCCCCTAAATAGTGGAATAGTTGTTTTAAATGATTTCCTTCTACCCAGCAAAGCATTTCAATCCCAATCAGCTCTAGATACGCCTCCCACTAAGTTTGCCCAAGCTTAACTTGGAAACTTCCAAGGGGTTTTGGACCTGCTTTGGATGTGTCCCCCACTGAGGTTGCCTAAGTCTAACTTGAAAACTTCCAGGAGCATCCTAGAAGTTTAGCTTTAGCTTGGTAAACTTCTTCAAAACTCCAAGAATTGGCGTCTAAAGCTCTTTTCCAAATGAATTTAGCATAATCTACGTAAAAAAAGAAAACCAAATGAAAATTCTTATTTTAAACCAAAAATTATCAATAGATAATATTTACACAAAGAATATTTTATGCTAAATTAACTGTTTATCAAATTTCCCCACACTTATCCCATGCTTGTCCTCAAGCATGACCAACCAACCCCATATAGAAGTTCACTTCACCTTGTGTCCCCCACTGAAGTGGCCCAAGCCTAACTTGAAAACTTCTAGGAGCATCCTAGAAGTTTAGCTCTAGCTTGGTAAACTTCTTCAAAACTCCAAGAATTGGCCTCTAAAGCTCTTTTCCAAATGAATTTAGCATAATCTATAGAAAAAAGGAAAACCAAATGAAAATTCTCATAGATAAGATTTAAACAAAAAAGGATTAATAGATAAGATTTAAACAAAGAATATTTTATGCTAAATTAACTGTTTATCAAATTTCCTCACACTTATCCTATGCTTGTCCTCAAGCATTACTAAAATTCTCAACCAACCCCGCATAGAAGTTCACTTCACCTTACTGCAGCATTCTCTATCAAAAGATTAAAAAAATTTTGGTGGAAATGCAAGTAAGGTAATAATCACTCATTACTTGTTCCTAACTCCATACTAGTATAAAGCAACCTCAAAGCACCCTTTTAATTACAAAATATGAAGACTTGGAATATTTTAGACATGCAATAGATTAGGTGCCATAGAAACTTAAGTTGTTGCACCTCAAGACATAAGTGTTAACCTGCCACATAAGTGTTAACCTGCTAAGGCACAATACTCTAGGATTTGGTGCAAATATTCGAAAGAAAAGGAAGGCACATTTCTCTCTCTCTCTCTATCTTTTTTATTTATTTTATTTGCAAACTCTGGAGAACTCATGTGCATTACCGCTTTTTTGATTTCCCTTTTATTCTCTTTTTTTTATTTTGTTTGTAACTTTAGAGAAGTCACGTGCATTACCGCTTTTTTTTGTTCTCTTTTATTGCTCACCTTTTACATTATCGATTTTCACGATTTGCACCTTCCATTCTTCCAAAACATGCAGCAATGTACCAAGAGCAGTGCCTCAGACTGGTTAATCAAAGTTTTGAAATGTGCACAACAGTGAATTAAGCATAAGCAAATTGGCAGTTTCACCAATTAACTCAAGCCTAAATGATTCACACAAAAGAGAATGATGAAGGATGCTATCAATAGTATGGAGAAAAGGGAAGTCTATAATAAAGATTACTATTACCTTACTTAAAATCTCAAAAATTCAACCTAACACAGAGGATTCAGTTTAAGGATAAAGAACTTCTCTTAGGAGGTCAAAAGAAAATATCAATTAAGTTAAGACATCAAACAATCAAACAATCAAACAATCAAAATTTCCATGGGATAAGCACTAAAATTTATTAAATTTTAAAAGCACTTGCCAAAAGAAATATCTAAATCAAATTTTAGAATATGGACAAAATGCTAAAAAATTCAATGCTTTATAAAATATAAACCAAAATTAAACAAATAAAGCACGTCCAATATCAGACCCCTCCCCCACACTTACTCCTCACATTATCCTCAACATGGAACTATCAATCAAGTACAAGGAGTTCCACACATATAAGTAAATGAAAGAAAAATAAAAGACAAAGATGGAGAAATGTCCCTATGGAGGAGGTTGCTGCTACCTGTGCTAAGTCGGTGGTGGGGGTGGAATCTCATCAGAATCCAACTCATCCACCAAATCGAGTCGCAGGCCCATTTTCTTTGTGCTGGGGTAGTAACCGTGAGTGCCGTATTCCTTTGGGTTTGGGAATGGGTTTGTCTCCATAAAGAAGGAAGAGTCGAAACTGGTTTGGGCTTCTGTTGCCTGAGACGGGCAGTGGTGGCGAGGTGGTTGGTGAGACGCACATTGTCGATATGGGAAGATGTGAGCGCGGTATCTGGCAATAGAGAGCCACCGCATTTGTGTCGCTGGAATTGGTTTGCAACTCAGATGACGATGGCGAGTCGGGATGCGACAGTTGCGGCACTGGATCGATGGGAAGTCTGGCAGCCTGTTGCTTGGTGCGCGGCATCTAGAACTTCGGCACCGTCGATAGGTGAAGAACTGAGCACTCTCCCTCGCGATCTCTCTCTGTTTTGTCTTTTCTTTCTTTTGATGGTGTTCGGATGGCTTACTTCTCTAACAAAAAGATTAAATAATAAAAAGAGCAAATATGGTAACTGTTAAAAGGAAATAAAAAAAAATAAGAGAAAAGGAAAAAGGGAATAAAAGAGATTACTAAAGACAAAAAAAAAAACATGGTTACTGTTACTGAAAGGGTAAAAATAAAAATAAAAGTAAAAATGGCCATTAAAAACCATTTTAACCATGAGAGAGTAATTTCAACCTCTTTGGTATTCAGTACCTACCCAGAAAAGAAATTAAGTCATACTAGTGGAGGGCAGTAAGAAGATGACTCAAAAATTAAAGAAAAATAAAAATAAAAATAAAACTCAAAAGGGAATAAGAGAAAGTAATAGGCTTGGGCAAGCCTAGTATTGGGTTGCCTTCCAATAAACGCCCTCATTTAACGTCTTAGGCTAGATGTTCTCAGACTTCAATCGACCCCTTCTGGGTCTTTCAAAGTAATTTCCTTTATCTTAGGAGCCGAAGGATCAACACCACAGACACAAAGCACGTCATATGGATCATCATACACATTAACTATAACTATTTTGCCATCAAACTCCATAGTGAGTATACCATCATGAGCATCGATTTTTGCTCTAGCTATGCTAAGAAATGGTCTTCCAAGCAAAAGTTCTGATAAAGTAAAGGATTTATCATCGTCTATATCAAGCACATAAAAGTCAACTGGAAAAACCAGCCCATGTACTTGTACCAGAACATCCTCCAATACCCCTTCAGGGTAAACCATGGACCTATCCGCTAATTGAATTACAATGGATGTTTCTTTTAATGGACCAACATTTAAAGAAAAGTAAATGGACAATGGCATAACATTTATTGAAGAGCCTAAATCACACATTGCTCTTTTTATTTTAATATTGTCGATTTTACATGGAATGGAAAACATACCTCAGTCCTTACATTTAGGGGGCAATTTTCTTTGCAACATAGCAAAAACATTCTCCCCCACACTTACCATTTGATCACCAACTAACTTCTTCTTGTTCATACAAAGTTCCTTTAAAAACCTTACATAGCAGGTTTAGGGAAAATTCTCAAATTAGAATCAACTAACTCAATTTTAAACCAGAGACTGAGTAAGAGAGTTAGGTACGATATCGAGAAGGTATTAGGCACCTGAACCACCCGATTTAAACCAGCCTCCTAGTTGTCCATTAATTCACAATGACTAATAATAGGATTAACTTTGAATTGAGGTGTAAAATTGGTTTTAATGCATTATTTGAATACCTTGTCAATAATGCATGTCATTAATCTCATGAAACATAAAAAGTAAATCATCCACAAGAAAGGAGGGAGGAGAAAAGAGTACAAACCATCTCCTAATTTTACAATCTACCCTCCAACCCTCCAAATTTCCCAAACCCCCCAATATATTACACCAAGCAATAATAGGATCCATTAAGGTCCTTCACATTAAGCTCATAAGAACAAAACCAAAATCCAAACATAAAGAACAATAAAAGGGCGGTATTTTCCACAACCAAATGAAAGAAAAGAGAAGAGGAGAAAGGTTAATAGCTCTCAAAAGTTACCTTTTGAAGATTTTCAATGATTTTGAGAGATTGGATGCAAGAAAACCCAAAAGCTAGGTTCTTGAATCAAGGATCCGAGTTTGAGATCAAATGTGTGTGTTTTATGGAATTTTGATAAACAATCTCAAGTTTTTTTAATCCAAAATCAATGAATACAACTTTAGATCAAAGTGGAAAACACAAGCTTTCACCTTGATTTGAGTTCAGTTTTAAAAATGCAAGAGTTTTCTTATGTTGATCAAAAAGGCCACCTTAGCACTAATCCCAAGGCTTATTTATAGGCAAATGGGTAGTGTTGCCCCATTTTAGGGCTTATGTGGCAAAATGCCACTGGTGGGCCCCAAAAATGGGTCGAGCTCATTTTTTACAGAATCGGACCTAGTGGCGTGCAAAACGAGATAGTGCAATGAGAAGTGCATCGGGCGGACCTGAAACGCTTCCCAGGTCCGGTTCTGTTGCGAAATGCAGTGACTTAAAAAAGTAAAAATTGCCAAACATGTACATTTCCTCATCCATGGACCATCGGTCCGAAAACCAAAGCGATCGAAAGTCCTGATCCAATCTTGTGTTATAAAAAGGTTATCATCATTAAACCATTAGGAGCAAAATTTGAGCGTCTAAATGCTCTATCTTACAAATCGAGCGCTTTTTGTTCAACACTTCATTTACATGTTTCATCATGCTACAATTCTATAACGCACTATTGCTCATACTAGATTTACAATTTGCTTCCTTAATTCATGAATTGATATATCCTTTAGTGTTACCAATTTTAATATCTAGCAGTTTGTACTTTACATCAATGGTCTTCTTTAAGATCTTATTTTATCAAAACTTTTGAGATCAAACTACCGTGTTTTTATTTTATTTTATTATAAATATATATATTATATTATATTATATTATATTATATTAACAGTCATCGTATGAAGATATCAGTTTGTCTGTTTGATATTTATTAAAGGGTTTGAGAGAGATTAATTGCCACATGTTTAAGTCTTATATTATAGTAACATACAACTTATTAACTCCAAAGTGTCCCTTAAAATTGAAGAATTCTCTTATGATCTGGTAAACTACTCGAAAGTTTAAATTTAAACATCAATTTCCCCTAGTTTTGGTTTAACATAATTCACTATCGTCTATAAGGCATAGTACTACACATTTTAGTTCTTAGTATATCTGTCTCTAAGTTTTACTGATACTTTATCTCTTATTCCTAAGAAAATTCTTAATGTACATCATTTCACAATTATTAGTTGTTGGATTGGTTTTCTAGTCATAATTCGACAAATGCTTAGTTATGCTACTGAGTTGATAACCGTAGTCTATATAGACCATTTGAAGAGTCTCTAGGTGTCACGACCCGAAACCATGGGCCGGACCGGCACTAGGGCCCAGGTAAGCTTAAGGCCCCCGAGGCCCGTAGTAAGCCTGAATCAATAAAATTCTCCTTTCTCAATATAAATTTCAAACATTTAGCCAAGAGTTTTGGAAACCGGGGCACCTAGGGAGCACGTCATGAGATAAGGGGTCGGCTTTTATAAAGGGCTCCTCATCCGAGGTGCCACACTGTTGTTTAAAAGAATGCAAATGATATATGTCAATATAACATGCGCCCCGCGTGCTTTAACTTCAATATAGCCGTGTCAAACGGTTTCACGCTGGTCCCCAGTGTCTACCTGAGAGAAAAATCACAGACTTGTCACAGCATTTATATAATTAAATTGATTCTCGGTCCAAGCAAATTTCAAAAACTTCTTATCTATATCATATATAATCGAGAATTTATATCACTTGGATTTGATTGTAGTTGGATTGACCTAATTTTAACTGAGATTGAAACAGATGCACGATATCATTCTAATAGTGTAGCAGAAATTCACAATATTTTTATTCTGTAGCTGGAGGAATAAATAAATGTAACACGACTAATGTAGTTTAGATTTAAATTTGTTTCTACACAAAAATGCTCTTAGCGAGAGTCGCACATATGTAATGATTTTGTGTATAGTAACAAAAGAATATAATAATTTTTTATTGATATAGCTATATAATCATAAAAACAAGTATAGTAAAAAGAATATATAATAACACGCTGCTAGTGGGAAATGACACAAACAGTCTCTGATTGTTTCTTCTTTTATGATGTTCGTCGGGCACGAGTCAAAGTAGAGAGTGGATAAACATTAACTTAACCTCGCATGTTGAACGCAGATATACCAATTTACTTCTCTCAAAACAAAATGTGTCAAATACTAGAGAATACTCAGTGTAGTGGACTAAGGGCAGAAACCTCTTAGAGTATATACCTAATCAGCACAAACACCTCCATTCACACAATGAAATAAATTATATCAATCTAGTCCATGGCCGACTAGTTATATGCTCACGCAGCCAGTCAACAATGGGATATCATCAGCACCTACACATCATGAAACATCTTCATGTAATCACATCACGTGGAAATTAAAGTCAGTGGTCACCTGAAACCCGCAACGAGCCTCCTCATAACACATGGCTCGCCCTCTCAATACATGTGCACCAGGGAGCCGATCCCCCATACGGCCAAACTGGTCTAATCCCTCATGAACCAAGTCTCTCATTATTTTTTCCATTCTACTCGTTTCCTTTTCCATACCAACAGGCAGGCACCCGGTGGTCTTCCATCCATTCCATCCAATCTAGATCATCAAGTGCTCACCACAGGAGGCCACCCTGCGGGCTACAATCAAATCTAGATTATCAGGTGCGCAACAACAAGAAGCCATCCTGTGAATTCCCATATAATCCATATCATCAGGTGCACACAGGGGCGCCGATCTCCCATTTTCCTGGCCGACGGTCAAATATCATATCATATTTAGGATCCATATCACAGACCGTCCTCACAAACCCATGGTGGTCCACTTCATCCCAATTCAACACAAACAAAGCATAGCATTATCACAACACAATTAATCAAACATTGCAATTAATTGCAGACATATTGATCAGTTGAACATCTAATGCAATGCAAAATTAGACACCATTCTCAAATGCAATTAAATAATTAAATAAATAATTAAATAAATGGATATTAACAACAACAAATAATCATAATAATAATAATAATAATAATAATAATAATAAACAATGATAATCAAAATGAATAAATAATTGAATAATTAAATAAATAATAATGATAATGATAAAATAATTAGAGCACTATATTTTATTTATTATGTATTGAGTTATAGAATTAATCTAAATAAATTTGTTAATTATATTATTAATTAAAACTAGTCTAGGTTCTATCGAAATTTCGGAAGCACCTCCCCTAAAAATGGGACTATCAACCTGCTTAAATATCCCAATAACACTAAGTATTTTCAATCAATACACACAACCCATCCATCGGGCAATTAAACAAATTCATTTTCCTTCCTCCATCCAAAATAATAACATCAATATTTAATCGTCAATGTCAAACTTTAACTTACTATATAACATTAAGTAAGTAAATAA